GGAACAGTGGGCGTAACTCATTTCCGTCTTCAACCCTCGTGCACTTGAGTTAAATCTCGCGACGTTCTCAGTGAGAGAACGGCACTTTGAGCGGGTCGAGGATCCCTACTGCCATTTCTTGGTTCTCACAGCGCAAACCGAGCTCACCTGATTGCAAACTGACGCTTGGAGCAATGGCATCTGCAGCTGACTAACTGCAGGGTCAAAGGTGGACGCGCCCTCCAAGCTGGCAATGAGATGTGAGCAGGCAGACCCATCCGCTGTAGAACCTCAGTTTTCCTGTCAGCACCGGAAAGGCAGAGTTCAGTGACCCTGTGAGCCTTGCTTGCCCCGATGCGAGTGGCGATGGGGGTGGTTCGTCAGAATCCGAGAGGCGGGCGAGGCCCCGGTTTAAAGCCAGTGGCCCGGCGCCATGCCTTCCCCTCCTGGGCCTCAATTTCACTTTATTGTTACTGTTAACGCCATCTGCTTACGAAGAGATTTATGTTTTCTAATTGCTTCAGTATTGAGCGGTAATTCGTAGCAGAAGTAAAGAAAGTCACACGAGAGTCCCACCACTTAAAAAAAAGCAATAAGGATGTGACAGCTTACAGTAAACTGAATGCAATCAAATTGTCAAATGTAAAACGCTAATGTAGAGTCGAGGTTAAGAAAATGATATTGGAGTCAGGCAGACCTGTGTTTGAATCACTGACAAGACACATCTCTGAACCATAGTTCCTTTTTCTTATTCTGAAAAATGCCAGTAGTGCCTCAGGACTTGTGAAGATTAAGTGAAATAATGAGGTAAAGCAGTCGGCACAATGCTTGGCAAGTAGTAGCTTCTCAAAAATGGTAGCTATTATCCTCATAATAAGAACGAGCTACGCGGGTGCACTGGGTCATGTCTGTAGTCCTAGCACTTTATGAGACTGGAAGGAAGGATCGCTTAAGCCAGCCGTTCAGACCAGCCTGGGCAACAACAGCCAGACCCATCACTACAAAAAAAAATTAGCCAGGCATGGTGGTGCATGCCTGTAATCCACCTTTTGGGAGGCTGAGGCAGGAGGATTGCTAGTGCCTAGGGTTTGAGGTTACAGTGAGCTATGATTGTGCCACTGCACTCCAGCCTGGGTGATAGAGTGAGACTCTGTCTAAAAAAAAAAAAAAAACCACAACACACACAAAAACAAGCAATACACTAGTCAGTAGGCTAGTGTACTTACAGTAACTGAGTACCCAATTTAGCTCATATGCAGACCCTTGTTTACATCATTTATTTTAACTGTACACAACCATGAAAAGTAGTGTTTAACTTCATTTACAAACGAGGATTAAGTTCTTGCTCTGAGTAACACTATTAAACTCAGTGTTAGGGTCTTTCTGACTGCAAACCAGCCATACTTTTCTGTGTTGTGTTGTGTTATTTCTGACTGAAGAGATGGATACTTGAATACCAGAAGGTTGGACAGGTAGACTTACCCAATTGGAGGAAGTGGGCTGTAGACATACATATAGTCAGGAGCAAACTCTTTCTCTAATAGAAATTTCCACTGTGGGAAATGAAGAAAGGGAGGAGATGATCACTGAACTTTAGACCCATCTGTTCATTTACCTTTAGGGTAGTCTGTAGCACTTCAAATTTACACTGTCCCAAACAGAAGTGATTAGCTTACATTCTACCCCTCCTTCACACTGTACTAAACCATATACCTCTCTCTCTTTCCTTTGGACTATAAACATCACTCTCTCTCCTTAACAATGAACATCAATATTATCAATTTTACTTTGAGATATCTGTCAAATTCCTCCCTCCTCTCCTTTCCCACAGCCTCAGCCTTAATCTATCATTTGACAACTAGACTATTGTAATAGGCTTGTGACTGTTGGTCTCTTTGCCTGCACCTTTCCTTATAATTCGTTCACCTTGCATGCTGCCAGAATGTCTTTGTAAAGTGTCAGTCTGACCAAGTTATCAGCCTGCCAAAAACCAGTCAAAGGCCTCATTGCTACAGAATATAAAACTAAGTTGTTTACCAATGAAATGTCATTTTGTTCTTGAGAGTCTTTGCCTACCCTCTTCCCTTTGCCTAGAGTGCCCCTTGCCTCCACCTTTATTCTGCCATCCTTCAAAATCTTTGTGGGTAACCCTTAACCTAAAGATCCTTTTTTGCTACTTTCCATCCTACATATACCCTTGTGATGCACAAAATACACTGTAACTTGTCTGTTTGAATGTCTTCCACTTTCACTAGGCTGTGAACCTCTAGAAAGTAGGGGCTTTGTAATATTCAGCTTCATATCTACCTTTCAATCCTTTCATATTGCCTGTCTCATAGGACACACTCAGCAGACATTAGATTAGTAAATGAATCCCTTCAGACTCTGATATTAGAATTCCCCAAGTTTGCTTTCTAGAATTGTACAGCAGATGGCACTAACAGGCCACTTAAAAATCCCCTTCACTAAGAATGATT